GAGAGAGAGAGAGAGAGAGAGAGAGAGAGAGCGGGGGGGGGCTGAATGGCAAAAATAGAAAATGGGTCAAATTGTGTTCGTGATCTATTTCACGGTTCAAATTGCAAGGAACCCGACTGTTCATCACTTGCTGGAGTGCATCAGATCACATGTGCATATACACAGATTTTCAATTTTTCACAGATTGCGATGTCTCTCACAAAGCCCAATAGAAGATGAATGAGAACCAGGACGCTTAACTCAATTATCAAACCCAGATTAAAGAGAGAATATCAAGAGTGAAAAATGTACAGCGCCGAACAGAGTTACAAGTCTTCTTCAATCAACATGAGTTCCCAGGCCTGGCGCTCATCAGCACCAGCTGCCAAATGTCAACAACAGCGCTCAACAGGTAGGTGTCACCATAGCTCACTTCTTCCTCCTTGATCTCTCTCTTCTCTCCTTCTGTCTATAGTCCTGATCTACTCTCACCCATCATGCATGCACACTCCCTATCACACCAGGATCTACTCTGAATACTACTCACTGTACTCTTCTACTAACTGTCCCTACTAATGTACTAACTGGCGCTTGCGCAGCTATGGCTGCCTTCTATCCAGCCAGCGCTCACTTCTTCTTTCACACATAGCGCTGCTCTTCAACTCAGCGCTGCTCACACACAACTAGCGCACAAGTGCCACGGCACTTCCACACTTCATGCGAGATAAGCATCCGTCCAAATGGGAGGCTGGCCAGTCTTTTATAGTGCTGGACTGGCCTGGCACGGCCTGCATTCAGCCTCAAGTGTCTGGGACTCCTGCCCAGTTCCTGTTGTTGCAAAGTGTATGTCCCAGTATCTTTTCCAATGGTCTGCTGCTGCTTTGGGCCATCACGCCTGTCTTTTGGACTCCTGGTCTGAATCAGGATTGACTAGTGTGATTATGACTGGACTGGGACTGTGGCCTTTGACTCATTGCCGAACAGACATGACTTTCCATCGAGGAGACATGACCCTAACTCAGTCTTGAAAACTGTGTCCAATACCTGTTCGTGCAGGACCTGATGGTGACTGTTCAAAACGAATTTTCATTTCATTATGGATGCGACATTTGCCTCAGGAACTTTGTCTTTTGGATTGCTGCTCGTGAATTGAAGTTCTGGCCGACAGGGCCCCTCGCGGTTGGGGCATTGATCTGGGGTTTAATTCGTAAAGGCCCTTTTTAAATGATTTTTTTTTATTAATTTCTGAGTACGGATCCGGGCCGCCCGGTCGACCAGTGCCTGCCCGGGGGAGGTCCCGGGCGGCCTGGCCGGGCGGGCGGCCCGGTTGGGGGCCGGGCACCCCCAGCACACCTTGTCGGGGGGGGGTTCA